CATCATGACCTGTAAATTAATTTGTATATAAAACATATTCTTTCCTTAACATTCGACATAAAAGCAATACAATCTTGTTCTTACTAAGTTCAGCCTAGTTATATCGCAGGTAATTTCTTTAGTTGCAATCTTCTTTAGTGTTGGTTTGAGGTCGTATTCGCAATTTGGTCAGGGCAACAGACAGATCATGCAAGCCTACTCGGTACTGAAGTCTTGGCCATACTAGGCATGAGATGTTGCTGCATCGGATCGTTTTGCTAGCATTGTCAGCTAGATAGCATCATCAGCTGGTTAAGAATAGTTAGCGGGAGATGAAGTTAGTTATCCTGAGCATTTTATGCCCAAATGTTATAGCGTCTATCCTTTCCTCTGTCCTAGCTCTCATTTCTTAGCTATTCTCTTACGTGTCATTTCAAGCGGATTTACTGAAACGTAATCACTTTTATCACTGTTTGGAGTCCTCTCCATATATCTTAAACTCAATCAACCTTTTCAGTTATCCATCCAATTTAACAAGTTTGTCTATTTATTCTTATAAGTCACTATATGACTGAGTTTCAATAATCGCTTGACCCCGGTCATCGTTTCAGTCATATTCACATGACTGGCCCGGGAAATATGACAGAATATGTTAAACGGCTTTAGCGAGCGCTTTTCATATCGCCTAGCCTTCAAAAACTCTATATCATTTATCTTCCTACGTCGCGTATTTCCAACATACGAGACGAGTTTTTTGGTAAATTGCCTATTGGTATTATTTTTTGTTTTTTCTTAACCTGTATTTACTAATCGGCTTAGTCGCTCATGTTCCTCAATTTTTGCGTTGATTGTTCTCCCTCTTTCTTCAATCTATCCTTGTTCACATACATTGTAGTTGATACAGTAAACACCCAAAAATACTTTTGTTTTTGTGTAGATAAACCTGTGTAGTGTTGTCGTTTGATTCATAAATGTACGAATATTTTATTTTATTAGCAGTGGCCACAAATTTCTGGCCAGAGTGTTAAACAAATTTTTGTTCGTCTATCTCCTTTATTTTTCTTTCAGAATCACCGTCTTGCCATTTTCTTAATACGGCCGGTAAATTCCTCTGAATAAGGTCTGTTGAATATCTGTTACCATAAAAAATCTGAGCTGATTTGTCAAATTCATCCCATAGAAGACGTCAATGATATAAACAAAAAGTTAAACTCAATAAAAGTACCAGTGAAAATGCCAGTATGTACTGGATATTATGAATTTTGAAAAGTGACTAAGCCACTGATATCGAGTAGGATGGATTACTTATTGCACAATGGACTAAATCTAAGCATAGATCAACGAGCTAAAAAGCAACAGAATAAACATTTGTGTAAAAAGAAAGGGTATCGACTATTGGTGAAGAACACTATATTGCTCTATTAAACGTAAGTAGGAAATGCAAGAGATTGTCAACCTCAGAAAAAAAGTTTAGTAGACGCCAAAATATCCATGCAGTTAAACACTTACCATTCGAACCGGCAAGTGTCCAGCCTTTCGCATTCCTTCTAGGCATGCAGCTTTATGCGCCTCTTTGGAGGCCAGATTTTTGGCTCTGGCTGCTTCACAAGCAGCTCTTCGGGCCGCACGAGCCTGTTCGCGTCTCTGACGAAGCACATCATCCTGGACTAATTGATCGAAGGAACGTGCTTGCCAGCAATGGTAGAGGACAGCCCCAGAGTCTACACCCTCTTCGATCTGGTTTTAAATAAGTAATTAAGAGTCGGTATTGATGAATTAGGGACACAATTTAACAACCAAATAAGGAGTTTAAAGTTAACACATGGCCACAGCCGGTGCGATAAATACTACAGTGTACTGTACTATACTTATATTCCAAATAATTGGGTTCCAAAATGACCATTAGATCTATAATTAGAGTTGCATTCCATCTAGATTGGATAAGATGATGGAGATGGTAGATTTCAATTTAGTGCTGAAACTCAGGCGAGATTGAAAGTGCAGTCCACATTGGATGAAAATATCCATTTGGAGGCCAGGCTAAGTGAAATTTGACGGCTTCCCATGAGGAAAGTTCACACGACGTATGACTTATTCAAGAGCTACTGGTAGTTCCTTAGCCTACTCATTCTTAATATAATTGAATTTAAAAAGCATTTCGTTTTTAGTAGGTTTTCGAGACTACCTTCAATGAAATAGAGTGAACATAACTTAAAAAGCACTGAAACACCTTGTATATGTCATTGCAAACAATATATACCAGTAACATAGGATGTCTCAAGTTCCACTACTACTTATGATCGCAGCAAAACAATTATTATCCTTCGAAATTATCGCCGTCTGATTCATCCATCCCAAGAGTGGGACTTTGACCAAGATACATTGCTCAGTTAGGTTTTAATCATCCCGTTCAACTCAATCCTTTACAACACAAACTATTAACACTAATATTATAGTGGGTTTATGTCAAGGCACATGAAATTCGTCACTAAACTCGAGCTAATAAATATTTAAAATGTCAAAATTATGCACGTTAAGTCAATATGATGAAAAATACCTAAAGTAGCCAAAGGACTTGTGTTCAGAAAGAACGAAGGACTAGACACGTTCCACAAAATATCCTTGTCGCTCTTACTAAGTTGCGGAAACGAGGTAAAACCAACTCTATACAGCTAAAGGAGATTGCGACAAAACAAGAGGCCACACCATCCTGGTCATCCTATATACCGGTGATTTCCAAAATGTGAGCCGCGGCCTCTTTACAGGGGCGCTGCGAAAAGCTTAAATTTGAGAAAATGTGCAGTGATTTGCAGACTAATCCATCACAGTCCCAGATGTCTCGCCGGCATCTTAGTCGGCATCGTCAATGCGTCTTGCCATTCTCCGTACCATAATACAACTCGTCAAAGAGACAAATGAAGCCGATACTTTGACCCAATGTGTGCAAGACAGTTGTGGTATCTCTCCTTCTGTCATGGGCCATCGACCTATCCTATATCTTCGTATCACGCCTTCAATATCACAATTTTTCCTTGCTTATTTAAATTTAGTGTGGTGTCCCCCTTTGAGCGGCTTTCATGAGAACCATCCACACTCCATACCCCACACTGGCGTTCTCACCCCATTCACCCTTGTGCTGCAAATGTTAATCAGAGTCTGCCATATTGTTGCGCCGTCCTCCTTCCATAAGTCTAATCAAAGTCTCCCTCTTGTCCTGTAGGATCCGTCTGCTATTTCCCTTGTTGAAGTACTTTACTCGACCCCTGCCACCCCATCTGTGCTACTCAAGGAGTTATTTCCCACACTGCGTCTGCTAGACTAACTTGAGGCTAAAGAGCCCGAGTACTTGCCTTGGTCAAGCCTTTGCTTCATGGACCACGTCTATAGTATAACAGGCCTGTTGTCAGCCAACTAACTCCAGTCTCCTCTACGTCTATCCTGTTCCTATCCTTGATACCAAGTCTATGACTTTCTATACCATAGTCACTTGTGTGTCTTCAATTTGAAAAAATGTGCAGTGATTTGCAGGCTCATCCATAACATAAATTATTAAATATTAATTTAATGTGAATACAATAAAAAAAAAATAATAAAGATACACGATTTTTTTAAATTTTGATCTCTTACTTACGAATAGTCATACTTAGGCTAGAGCGCCATGGAAAATTTTTAATTGAAAAAGGGCGCCGTGACTAGGAAAAGTTTGGGAACCACTGCTATATACAATAGATAAGCTTACTTTTTTTTACACTTCACATATGAAAAGGCAAGCCTGGCAACATTTATAGGGAAAAAAATCAACAAGAATGAGTCGAAATAGGGGATGTGAGAGTGCTTTCGTTCCTTGCCAAGAGCCTCTAGGCCAAAGTGTTGGTAAATAACGATAAAAATACATTTTGAGGTAGATTTATTCTTAACTTCAAATGAGCGCACATAAAAGCTTACTTTAATCAACTGAAGAGTAATACGCGGTCCGATTTCAATAAGACGGATAGCAGCTTTTTTGGCTGAAGAGAGATGTGATAAACCATGAGAGTCCTTCGAATGGCTATATAATGATTGAGTCTTTTCCATGGTGTTGGAAAGGACTGACTTGGAAGGGTTTGGCAAATCCACCTCTTCAATTTCCTCAGCATCCGAAATGCCTGAGTCGGATAACTGAGCTCTGATGGGGAAAATAAACAGAATGTTTAGAGCGTGGACGAAAGCATATATAAGACTAAAAGTTGTGCAGGGTGGTGAATTTAGGTGATATTTAACTTAAATATTTTTCTTAATGGTTCCAATAGTCAGTAAGATAAATAAATGAAATTAAGAAAAATTTTCCATTTTTAGTATTTAGATAAATCAGCCCAAACAATAGGCACATTCAATTCTGCATCTGATTGTCATCTTTAGTATAAAACCACTTGTAACCACGGCAAAGCAATTCTTTAATAACGATAAATTTACGTATATATGCATATGTATTTGTAAGAATGAAATTAAGGTGAGCCGATCTTTCGGGTAGAAAGGCGTATTGCAATCTAATCTAAATCCGTTAAGTTATCTTAAATATGAAAGGAGCAGAAGTTGTTTAACTGTGTTTTTGCAACTTGGTCATATTGGTAGGAAAACTTAGGGGAACGCATCTAATCCGGAGTCCAGTGTATGCATGATCATTTTCAAAATCGGACCTTGGACGTGGTACACTCCCATACGTTTCGCCGGCATCGTCAGTGAGTCTTGCCATTCTTAGAACCAGGGTACAACTCGTCAAAGAGTCAAGTGAAGCCGATCCTTTGACGAATTGTGGTATATTTTGATATAGCTAAGACAAGTATATCAGATGTTATTCGGTTGGAAAAGCGCCGTCATCGACTTTCATGATATTCAAATCAAGGAGGCTGTGCAATCGGATATTAGCAACCAAGAATTGTATGAGTAGCGGCCAAAACAGCAGCAAAAAGATAAAATTGGTCCCAAAAAATCTTGGTAAACAAACCATTTTTTATCTGATTTACCTTGTTCAATTAATAGGCAACTGAATCCGATTTCATATGTTACAACTAGGCTCAAAGTAGTGATAAGTTAAAGGAATCAAGTTTCCTGATAAAGCTGAATACATCAAAAGCTATATAAAGAACGATTAACGAGTTCATTATAAGAAACTGAAACAATTGGATGATTGAAACATTTTTGAGGGAACCAATTGAAAGAAGCGGTAAGTTGAATGAGTGGAAAATGAAAGAAAATAATCCACAAATCCGAGGTCCCACAGTGGTCGACTAAAGTGCGACATACATCTGGTTAGTATTCTGGAGAATCTCTTGATTAGGCAAATTATTAGCTCAACAAATTCAAAAAAAATTCTCGTGAATAATAGGTGGAATAAATAAAGAAAACTAATGTATATATTTGAGGATTGT